TCAGTATTTTCGCCACCAGATTTTCTATTAGAATCCCTGACAACAGCTTTAGGTGAGTGAACCTAATTATGATTTCGTCCCTTACCACTATCAGTTTGGGCATCGATGCTTAGCAAATAATTGAGACCATGTGGACCAACTAACCCTTTGTCAGCTTGTGCGAAAGACCTTCAGGCTAGCTGATTAGATGGGAATATTGGCCTTAGATGCAGCCACAGATTTTTCGTCGCAAAGCTGGAGACCCAGAGGCAAGTAACCAGGAAGCCATCTAGCTTTGCGTCGACCTTCGAATTATCAACCGCCATGTCTATTATCGCCTTCGGCAGTTTGTTCACAGAGTCAACCGAAACGAAATCCAGCTTTAGGCTACTTATTAACCAGCTTAAGGTGATTTTTTCGTTTTCAAAAGAGCAAAAACATGCAAATCACTTGCCCATGCTTTTCCAATTCTCCTGCTTTTTCATGAATTTTAATGGTAACTATCGTATTAGTTGCCAAAAACTAATAGAACACATGGCCAGGCGAGCATCAAATCGTTGCATATTTATTACTCATACGCCATGTAGCACCGACAAAAAAAAAGTTATTTAGTATACCGTTAATGCAAACTTCAAGATAAATTAACATTTCAGTAGTGATTTCATTTTAAAATGCAAAAGTCTAGCTTTAAAAAGCCAAAAAGAGAAACACCACAGCAAAAACTAGAGTGCGCCATTTTTTGTCGCCTACTTGCTGATCTGCCACATATGGTGTCTTGTGTCTGCAGGTTTGCAAAATCTTACATTAGTACACAAGCCAGTAGTTGCATTTATTTTCATGCCATCAGGTTCTACGGTAGTCACATGTTCCTGCAGCATATTTGCATATTTTTTCATGCATATTAATCAGACTCAAGTCACCTGCTATTAACCATACCTCATGCATGCGAATGCATTTGCGAATGCGAAAATATGTTTTCATCTTCTTATACTTACGTATTTCTATACTGAAGCTATGACTTGCCACAACAACTGCTTCAGTTGCTGTTTTCGTTCTTTATTTTGTTATGCAAAAGTCCCATTAATGCATTTATCTGCTATAATAATAAACCAAACAAGTGGTACGAAGAAAACAAAGAAAAAGTAAGACCAGCTTTAGATATGTTTAAGTTGAAAATTTTGACGAAAGTATTGTCAACTAAGCGATAAAAATCTTGTCTTATAAACTAGTTTACTCTATGGCTGCATTTCTTTATTCATTCTGAACGTTTGGAATAAACTTTTTTGTTTACTTATTCTTTAGAACGTTCCTGATGATATGTAAACGTATATTTCAATGGCATTCTGTTTATTCTGGTTGTGAAATGGGTTTATCCGGAATGTATAAAGAAACGCAGCCTATAGCTTTGGGTGAAAGAGAGAAATGTCCTATGGTCTTAACCATTCCAGGGCCAAGGGTAACATGCTTTCTACGGAGTTTCTGCACTCGTAAGAAAACTGTGTGAATCATTTTAAATTTTTCTGATTTTCGGTAATTTGTCTCAATTGTGTATATGTATGTATGTGGCTATTTTTATCATAAAATTTGAGAAATAAATGTTTATGCCAAAACTTACAAAATTTACCAAAAATTAGGAAAAAAGTTAAAAAAAAAAAATATAGAAAATAATAAAATTTTAGAAAAAATATATATTTTTAAGATAATGTAATTTTTTGGAAAAAATACACTTTAGGAAAAAAAATTTCTTAGATAAAATTATTTTTGATAAAAATTCTAGAAAAAAATATTAAAAAAAAACACATATCGCACACCGTTTTCAAAAGAGTCACAACTCAAAGTTTGGCATTTTTGAAATTATGCGCTAAAAATGTACACAGAGCTTTTATTTACCTTTCAGGAAAAGCTGGAGCAATTTTTTTATATAATTTGTTAAAAAGATCTAATTTAAAGTTGTCATTGCCCATATGATTAGCATTTACTACGAAATAGTTTTTCGAATTTTCTGACGAACGTACTATTTTGAAGGTTTTTTTCGGAAAAAAGGCATTCCTTAGACCAAAAGAGTTTTACTTAACGCAGTAAAAATTATCCAAAGAGAAATAATTTTTTTTGCGTAAAAAAATTTTGGGGAAATATAATTTTTTTTATTTTAATCGTGTATATTTTCAATTGTAGGCTTACGGTCACGAAAAGGTTAAACTTTTACCGATCACTAGACCTGGCTGACTCCAGTTCGCCTCTAAACCGATTAATCGAGGTGAACTCATGAGCACGCATTATCTTTCCGCCGGCGATACAAAGGCTGATTACAGCATCTAGAACTTGGGTTGTTCACTTTGCTCAGAGAACACAAACTGGAACGTAAGACTCGGGGTCAAGGAGTGAGGTTTATGCCCTATGCCAATGATACGGTAATTTCAGAAACCGCTTTTTTCCCCTCTGTGGTGAACAACATTATTTAGGCGCGTTAGGAAAAACAACTAGGCTGATTGGGGGAGCATTATGGCCTTAGAGTACATCTAGAAAATATAGAACTAATACCCTTTATGGCCAGGAATAAATTCCTCAGCTTTGAATTTGAATAAATAAAGAGAATTTTACCACATACTCTTGCATGAGACTAATCGGGAAGATTTGGGGTTATGACCCAAAAGTTGTACTAAGGAAGTAAACAACAATAATATACTCCGTGTTATTGAACACCTATTTCACATAGTAAACTCATACAACAAAGTCGGAGCTGATTAAGGAGTGCAGAGCTAATTTAAATACGGTTAGTAGTCTTTTTGAAGTCGATTTAGTTTGGTCCTGCTCATCGCAATATTCTTTGATATGAAGTTGATATCGAAAAGTTTTCATATTGGCCTCAATCGAGAACCGTTACTTGCCATCAATCAGCCGATATCGAGTCAGAGGTGGCACGTGCTCCGATGCTCTTGGCAACAGCAGATGCTAATGTTACCAAGTCTAATTACGTTAAGGAGTGTACTGTCTCTCGTTGCTGGGTTTCGGGACGCAAGAACAAGGCAGTCAAAAAGCTGATTAATTGCCTAAGGCAAGAGCCTGTTTGGATCAATCAGAAGCGGTCGCACTGAGTCACCCTCTTGAAATATTCCAAAGAGAAATTGTTCTGCATTGTCCCGGACAGGCTAGATACAGGTGGTCAGATAAGCATACAGACCTTCAAAATATTAAGAGACCTTTGACCCCACTACAATAGGATGGAGACCATGGGCCTGTTTAAAAGTTCATAAACAGAAATATTCAAAATTGCAGCAATCATTACTAAGCACAGAATAAGGAAAAAATAGGACTGCAGAATAAGAAGATCGCGAAGAAATTATCCAGCGTTTTCAGTGTGAATAGGCAGGTATATTTAGTTATAAATAACAAATTTTAGGACAGACACCTAAGAAAAACTACTCGACTTATCAGGAGCTACCATAAGCCTTATAGAGTCAATATGGTTCGAATGAGTAACAAAGGATGTAGGATATAGGATTTTAAACTGGGTTTGATATTTTTTGCCTCTACCACTGATGGCATTTTACTTTGATTATTTGTCTTTGTTATAGATTTATCTCAGGTTAATCTAACCTAATTTTTAATTATCTCAGTTTCCATAATTACATATGTTATACAAAATGTTTCTTTCTTTAAATGTGTTCACAGCAAGTTAACAAGCATTTTTATTAAATGTCAATTAGACAACAAAATAAAACTTCCTAAGCGAAAATGCCAAATTTCTTAGCAAGTTTTATAATCGATAAAACTCATGTGTGTATAAATTATCTGTTTTATTTTTATTACCATTTTCAGCTTAAACGAATGCAACTTTAAACAATAAATTATCACCCGGCACTTTAAGCCAAATTGCGGATTGCATATACAAGCAGGCAGGAGAAGCTTGCTAGTAGTTACTGCTGAAACTTCAAGTGAATTCAAAGTGCATGTAAATATAACTCAACTAAAGCTAAAAAGCAGGAAATCCATAGAAAATAACAACGATAAGTGCAAGCGGACGGCAAGAAAATGGGCAAGAAAAACTCCAAATTGAAGCAAGACACCATTGATCGTCTGACCACAGCCACATACTGTAAGTACATATAATACAAATGCAAATGGATATTTAAAAGTATAATAAATTTTTGGGAAGTTTGAATAAATACACATACAACCATACATATGCAAGTATATATGTATATTTATTCTAAGTATGGGTATATGAATGAAAGTATTTCTGTATTAAGCAAACGAGACAAAAACAACAATTTTTGGCAACAATTTCAAGTTCAAAATTGAAGGAAATGCTGAATTCAAAGTCACGGAAAATAGCGTTTGCCAAAGCTAAATACATACAAAAACAAATTAAAACATCGCATACACAAAGTGTAGGATTTAATTGGTTCGCATACTTTAAAGTGCGCTTAAGCCACTTTAAGCAAGTAAAAGAACCAAAAAGCATTGTATTTATAAATATATGTATTTGTGTACAATTTTTTGTACGAATTTCAGCGGAAAACGAAGTTGTCCTCCAAAAAGTTTTCAAATTTAAATTATAATGCATTGCTGACACGGCGAAGGCTGCCAAGGCACTTTAGCTCTGCGAAAGCAACACAAATTTTTGGCAACTCGCAAAGTTTGAACGTTTGTACGAGCATTTAGGTAGTTAGCCCTTAGACTGCTCGAACTTTAGCAGGACAAAGCATGGAAAACATAAACACATATAGATATAACAAAATATGTATGTATGTACAGTGGCGGTCAAAAATTAATGAATGGTTTTTATTATTTACAATGTTTTCCAAGCTAAAATTTTTTTGATATCTTTTTATATAAATATTGTTCATGCTTTCATAAAAACTGTATATTCAAATCACACTTTAAAATTTTTTACAGAACCTAGAAAAATTCCACAAATTTTAATTTCGAGCTTTTTAACCAGAATTTTTTGAAATTTTTTGGGTACACAGTTAACAAGCTTATAAAATTCTAGTTTAATGAATGCAAGTTTTGAATGGCTATAAAATCGCGCTGATTTTTAATTTTTTTTTTGGTGACGGCTTTTACGTTTTTTTTTTATATAAATAGTGAAATTTAATAAAACTGGCGTTGACTTTTTTTATTTCTTTCACAAACGGTCTTGCGCATATTCTTCCATTCATTCTTGTATGGAAAAAAGTGACAAACGCCGTAAAAAAATCATCAAAAAGCAATGCGATTTTTTAGCCGTTCAAAACTTGCCCTTTTTACTAGAATTTTATAAGCTTGTTAACTGCATACCCAAAAAATGTCTAAAAATTCTGGTTAAAAAGCTCGCAATTTAGATACAAATTTGTAAAATTTTTCTAAGTTCTGCAAAAAAATTTAAATTGTGATTTATATAGTTTTCGTTAGAGCATGAACCATATTTTTATAAAAAAATATTTAAAAAAAATTAGCTTGAAAAACATTGTAAATATAAAAACCGAAACACCATTCATCCATTTTTGACCGCCATTGTAGTTAAAAACGTTTTTGGATATTTTGCTATTACAGACTAAGTGCAGGTAAATACTCAGTTATATGTGTGTGTGTGTGATGAGCTTTTAACAAGCCCTTTGCAATGTATGCGAAATAAATGCAGAAAATTACGTAAAAGAAATGCATGCAAAGTTCTCAAAGTAACAGCGACATGGCAGTACCACGAAATTTCTTAAAAAGTTTTGTTAACTCCATTGTGGTATTTTATAGCAAAGGCTTTTTGCATAATTGAGTCGCTTATTTAACTGTGGCGCTGCTTTTCGCTGGGTATATTCTGAAATGGGTATATTAAAGCTGCAGAAGAAGAAAAGGAAGTAGATATAGACGATCTCGGTAATTGTTAAAATTGCAAAATGTTGAAAAAGTTGATTAAGTACAAAACTTCAGTAATTAAAAGCAGATAGCTAAGAGTTCGTTTTCGGTGTGGTTTATTAAAATAAAAGTATATGATTGGGATGTAAGCATATTTTCAGATGATAAATATATTCAGGTTTAACAAATATTTAAATAAGTCTAAAAAATATGAACCAAAATTTATTCTTAAGAGTATAGTATCTTAGAGAAAAAGAATAGTAAGTTTTTGGGTCATAGAGAGATCAGATGGTCATCGCCCAAAAAATTTCATAATTCCTCACGTAAAGGGGGAATACGCAAAAAAATTTACTGAAGGTAACAGCGGCAATTTTGTTTATTATGTGACCAGTCTGAAATGCCCCCATATTAGATGGCATCCAATCTGCTTTGTAGCCTCCTGGGATTTCAGATAACATCCCCATCAGGCTGACCTGACTTCGAAAGGGAAACAAGTCTGGTTAAAAAGCAGCGAGAGGATTAGCCAATGCTTAAAGTGCATTTTGGGTCATTGCGACCCGCTGGAGATTTCCCGAAAATCAACGAACTCCTCTATTACGATATGTAGGATGCTGTCCAGACCGGTCGAACTGAAGTTTTCAAAAGATTATTCTGCATATATAGCATATTCTAAGGCTTATTAATACGTCTCAGTTCTATCAATCAATCAGTTGAACCTGTAAAATTTGGTCTTTCTATTCCCACGGATATCGACGGAGGAATATGTATAGAGGCGTAAATTGTCAGAAAAACAGAGATATTCTCAATCCTTCTATCCGTAAACCGTATCCGTCTCACCATTTTAATGTCTTAAGCCATTATCCGCAGGCTTAAATAAGCACTTCAGCATAGTTGTTTCACCGCTCAACACACAGCCGCGAGCGTTGTCTGTAGTCACAGAAGCTATGGTGGTCGGGGCTGAAATCAATTGACCGATATCTAGCTTATATAAGCGACTCTCCACTATACAGCGTCCTGTGGGAAAGACTGTGTCGATATATAATACCACTTTTGGAGGATTGATAACATGTTGGCGTATTTTTAAACTACTTCTATCACTCGAGTAGGCACTGCACTTGAAGTAGTCCTGTCAAGCGTCGTCAATGTTTTGTTCTGCCATTAGTCCTCTGCCATTTTCTAGCTCTTCTTTGATTGCATTCGAATCTATTTGCATGGTTTCGGCGCAATTGTGCGGTGGCGCCGTTTCACTGGCTAGTCTCTCTGCTCTTATGCCCTAGACAGTTTTTGATGCGTCTATATGCCAGCTCACGGTACTAGCCTTTCTAAAATTGAGGTACTCCATGTTCCTTTGCGGAACAAGTCTATATTAATTCTCATAAAATCTTTTATCATAAAAGCCTTTCCTCTATCAAAACCCCCGTTGACGAAAGGTTTGTTGACATAGGTTTCGCATTACTATTGATTGGAGTAGGCAGATTGGCTGCCAAGTTCACAGTTGCTATTTTCTTACATCTTCTATTGGGGAATCATTGAATTCGTCATAAGATCAGAAGTTTCCAGCGGTGCATACTTCTTCCGTATACTTGGACATCTTACCAAATGGAGGAATTCTCCCGCCTCTGTTTCCTCGTCAGCTACCGGCTCTTATTCCTCGAGGGCGAATTTGTTGTTTGTTGTTGTTGATTTCAGTAAGCTATTACATTAAGAAATAAATTTAGCCGATCACCTCTTGTTAAAATTCAGGGAACTTATCTGAGCTCTTAACTGCCATTAAGTCTTTGGTGGAAATAGGCTATAAGCCAATACCAACATTCGAACATTATTTATGGAACCCAAGATTAAGATATTCACGAGCTTTCACAACACAATCTCTTTTATTGAGGATTAGCTCATAACAATAAGCAATTAAAGCTTAAGAGCATCAAAAGGAAACGTGGAAAAGGCCATTAAAAACTGTAGTATGAAAAAAAGTTTGAAATACGAGTAGCTTTGCTACATAAGCTACTAAACTCACTAGTGTATGTACATAAAAACTTTATTTCTATATGCCATAGAGCTCTAGAAAACTAAAATTTAAACAAAAACTTTGGAAATAAATTGAAATGAAGAGCACTTAGCGGTTTAAAAATTTATTTACTCGCTTTAAGAGCTTTAAAATTCATTTTACTTCCACTGCAAGTATAAAAGGACAGTCTAAAAAAAAATGCTTTCACATCACAAAAATTTTATATTTACATATGTACACATGTGTGCGTGCTATTTATTTGCAACTCAGCATGCCACTCCTTCATGCATGCATATGTACGGATGTGTATTTGGCAATCTACTAACAAAATTTGTTTAAAAAAAAAGTTCCACCTTTCATAAAAGCGTCAAATTCAAAAGCAACTCTGTACCGATACAATGTTTAGGTATTTATTCCCCTAAATGTTTTTATATGCACATAAGTAAGTAAGTACATACCTATCTAATACTTTTTCAAATATATTTCAGCTTATGTTGCAATCGGCTTGTGCGTGTACATATTTTTTCTATTACCATAGAAGCTTTGTATATTTTACCATATCAAAGGCATTCAATTTCATTTGCCAAATCATCGATACACGTTTGTCATCACTTTTCAGAATAATTCTAGATTGTAAATGCAGTATTTATGTTGCATCCACACTTTTTAAATAAAATATAAGATGGTAGATAAAATCCGATTCTCACGTTGATGGAGTAATATATACGAGTATAACGAAGTTGTAGCCATTGAAAAGTTTGAAATGTAATCAGAGCAACAGTTGCATATTCTAACTTTACTAAATTGTTTTTAAATAAATTTTTTTAGATTTTTTTTTTTAAGGTTTAGTGACATTTAGTTAACAAAATACCGCGTACGCAAGCATATTAAGTATTTCTTATTTCACTAAATACTGGGTACAAAAGCAATACTGAAATATGTCCAAAATCGCGAAATAGTCCCTAAATTCCCGAAATAGTCTCGAAAATGCGTGCAGCTTCCAAGTAGTTCTGAATCCAGTAATAGTCCTGAAAGTCCCTAATTAGTCAAAAAATACTTATAATTTCTAAGTAGTTCCGCAAATACCAAAATTGTCTTGAGAATTGTTCCGAAAATCCCGACTTAGTCACGAAAATATCGACATTTCTCAAGAATCCCGTAGAAGAATGTCTCAGCCACAAGAAACCCGAATTAGTCCCGAAAATGCGTGTTAATCGAATTTTTTTGCATTGCAAACTGCCACAGAAAATTTAGAA